TGTTAAAACTTTATATATGATATTATGCCATTATAAAACCAAAATGCAAACAAGTAGTGAAAATATTTATCCCAAATATGATAAAACATAAATATCCTTACTGTATAAGTGGCTTAATCAGGTAACTAAGAAAAATACAAGATCCCAACAGATAAAGTGATAAAAGATATGAACAAAAGCTGTGCCATAGTAAGCTGTATAAACTCAGGAGAAAAGGCAAATGTGATAAACCATTGATAAACCATTTCTATTCTATTAAAATTGATAAACCATTTCTATTCTATTTTTTTTAAAATTGAAAAATGACTCCTACACAGTGTTGATGGAGCCACAATAGAACAAGCATTACTCTTTTATAATACTGGTAGGAGAGGCTGGGCACAGTGGCTCAGTCCTGTAATCCTAGCTCTCTGGGAGGCCGAGGCGAGCGGATCGCTCGAGGTCAGGAGTTCGAAACCAGCCTGAGCAAGAGGGAGACCCCGTCTCTACTATAAATAGAAAGAAATTAATTGGCCAACTAAAAATACATAGAAAAAATTAGCTGGGCATGGTGGCACACGCTTGTAGTCCCAGCTACTCGGGAGGCTGAGGCAGCAGGATTGCTTGAGCCCAGGAGCTTGAGGTTGCTGTGAGCTAGGCTGATGCCACGGCACTCACTCTAGCCTGGGCAACAAAATGAGACTTTGTCTCAAAAAAAAAATGCTAGTAGGAGCAAAAATTGGTATAGTCTTTCTGGGAGAAAATTTCTAACACATAGTCACTTTTAACCTTACAACTCCAGCTCTAGGAACATATATTGAAGAATCAAAAGATGCGCATAATTATATACAAGTATTATTTATGATATGGAAAAATTGCTACAAGCACTCAATAATCAGAAAATAGCAAATAAATCACCCATGGGATGAAAGACTATGGGGTCATTAAGAGCCATGTACAGGAATTATATTTAATGACATGGAAAATGCATCATGAGGTAATATCAAGTTAAGAAGGCAAACATATGCATCTGCACACATACATACATATATACAGTGTGCATAAACACATACTATGATATGATGCTAACTCACAAAAACATAAATATATCGCCAAAAATGTTGAAAGATTCTTTGCTGTTATTGTTTTAAAATTCTCTAGTCACTTCTGATTCTTCACATTTTCAATAAAAATGTTGCTTTAATAATCAGAAATAAGTATTTTGACCCCTATTGACGATACTCAGTGCCAGAAGGGACTGATAAGAAAGCACCCGTCACTCATTTGGACAGGTGTGTATATCCACACAAACTTTCTCAAAAGCAAATCGATGATATGCAGCAAGTGCTCTAACAGGTTCATACCCTTGGCTCCCTTAGACTTCTACCACTTCTAGCTAGCTGTTCTAAATAATTAACTTCCTGGGATAGCTAAGAAACTATTGTCAATGCTATTTATAGTGAAAAAGTTTGGGAACTTAGATGTCTAGCAGAAGAGGAATAATCAAATAAATTATGGTATCTCATAGGACAGGCTATGTAGTCCAGTCATGAGAAACGATGTTTACATGGTGCTTTCAGTGACCTGGTCATATAATGTTAAGCTTATCAAATAAGGTTCTACCCACAAATACATATACACATAGTATGGTCTCAAATATATAAGGAAAAATGTACAGAAAAAACTGCTTATGGATTGGGAGATTATAGGCAATTTATTTCTGTATCTGTATATTTCTATGACAAGTAAATATTTTTAAAAGTTACAATATAACAATAAAAAACCCAGCTCCTACTGTTGTGACTGTGGCCTTCATATTATTTTTTTGTATTGTCAAGAGAGAGAATAGATGGTTAGCCCACTGAAGTCACCTTACATTCCTGGAGAGACGGTCACATCCTGGACCTCAGACCTGTCAGCACCATGCGACAGACAGAGGTCACCCCTCCCCCTACTTTCTTCCCTGGCTCCCTGGACACCACTCCACACCTTCCCAGCCTCTTGCCCTGGGTCCTTGCCATCCCATAGCTGGCAAATGTTAAAGTCCCATGGGGCTCCAACTGCGGGCTCCTCCCAGCCTCCTACAGGCACGCCTGTGGGGCATTCCCCTTGGGTAGCAAATAAACTTCACAGGCCCAAAACTGAACTCCTGATTTCAAAGAAACAACCAGATAAATGAAACCAACAAAAACCTGTGATACATGCAATCTCTCCCTTTTCACTCACAGTTCTTCCAGTTGCTTGAGCTAAAAACTTGGAGTTTGTTGTTAACATCTCTATTTCTCTCAACTCACACACTGATCTTCCAGCAAAACCTTTCAGTTCAACCTGCAAGATGTGTCCAGAGTGGAACCACATCTCAACTCCCCCACAGCCACGGGCCTGGGCTTGGCTCTCAGCATCTCTCAGCTGGACCTGTCGTAAGAGCTGCTCTACCCGGCTCCTCTTGCGTCCCTCCAGTCTGTCTGACTTCAGCCAGATGATTCTGATAACAGGTAAGTCAGATCATGATACTCCTCTCCTCAAATCACTCAGTGTTTCCCTTCTACCGCAGAGTGAAAAATCAAAGTCCTGTGATGGCCTAGAAAGCCGGTCAGGACCTGAGGCTCTGTGCTCCCTCCCACCACCTCTCCCAGCACTCTCCTACCTGCCCACCCTGCTCCAGCCACCCTGGCCTCCCCTTCCTGCTCCAGATATCCAGACATGATCCTGCCTCAGGGCCTTTGCATGAGCCGTGCCCACCTTGCAACAGTCTCCAGATATCCGCAAGGCTTATTCTAGCCTATTCCCGGATGGCACCTTCTCTGCAAGGCTCTCCCTGGTTTCCCTATCTCAAACAGCATTTCCTAACACATCAAAGCCCTCTGCCCTTCATCTTTGTGTACTTGGTATGCTGCAGATTCACTTGTAGGTGCTTTCTGTCCTCTTACCTCCCCTAGAATGTCTGCTGTATGAGGACAGAGGAGGTTCTGTGTTCCCAGAGCCCAGGACAGTGCTGGGCACATAATCAGTAGTGAAATATTTGTTGCCTAAATAAACAAAGCCCATAAATGGGAAGAAGAACATTCACCTGGAGCTCAGGACACTTTGTGACCATGGGCAAGTCACTGGGAACCTGGTGCTGGAGAGTGTGTAGCTGCCTTACCTATCCCACAGGACTCCTGGGAGGCCGTGAAGTACTGCAAGACTCAAACATCTGAAGCTTCACACAAATGCAAAATGCGAGCAGTGCCAAGTCTGCAGAAGGAAGCATCTGCTTTGTCCTGGGCAAGGGGTGAGGATCTAGCCCTTGACTTACTTTCTGTTCCTAAGCACGGGACGGCCATAGCTTTGATGCCGTCACTGTGCCAGTCCCCAAAGGTGCCCCTTGGTGTGTGGTGGGCAAAGGGCTTCCAGCAGGAAATGGGCACTTGCTGTGTGCTTGTTTGTTTGCTGTCGAGAAGGCTTAAGTCACCGGGACAGCCTAGGACGATGCAGAAATGACACAAAGCTTATGATTACTCCATTTATGCAGCAATCATCAGTGTGGGCCGGCACTTTACATACATGATCGCTAATCCTCACAACAGCAGCAGCTGTCATGACGCACGTTTCACCGAGACAAAGACTGAGAGCAGCCAGATGCTCTGACTAAGCCTCAGTCCCTGCTCCCTCCCTCCTGCCTCCTGCGCCTCCCCGAGTCCCGTCTTGTCAGCATTGTCCCTTGTTATACAGCATTTCCTTGCTAGTTATTTACAAACACTAGTTTACACACACACACACACACACACACACTAATAGACTTTACCCTTACCGTAGTTTTGAACTATATGGAAAATTAAAAATCAACTCTGTTTAGATCACACACGAGAAATACCCACTCACTCACTGAACAAATATCAGAGCTCGGGCCAGGCTCTGGAGACCTAGCAGCTACGGAAACAGAAAACAATTCTGCCTTCATGTAGCTCACCTCCTGGTGACAAGGACAGTACGCACAGTGAGTGAGCAAAGACGTCACGCTATGTCAGAAGGTGACGCCTGCCAGAAATAGAGTAGGGAAAGAAGAGAAGGCTTGGGGGTGGGGGGAGCGGGGAGAGAGTGGGGACTGCAGTTTTCCAAGGAGCGGTCACAGCAGGGAACAGCCAGCCCAGAGCCCAGGCTGCAGCGTGCCTGGCCATATGTAAAAAGGGCAGTGCCACTGCAGGGACTTTGGATTCTACCCCAGGTGACATGGGGAGCTGTTGGAGTGTTTTGAATGGAGGAGTTCAGTTTTAGAATGTATCAAATATTTGTTTTAAAAGGCTCGCTCCGGCTGCTGTGCCGAAATCAAGGGTGGAACCAAGGGGCTGACGAGTGATCCAGCTGGGAGGTGGCGGTCGTGGAGGCGGGTCGGGGTGGGGAAGCAACGGCTGTGATGTCATGGCAATTTAGGAGACTGCCCCACACGACAGATTTTCACTTTAAAAAAAGAACATGACAGGCTCCTTGAACCATCTCGCCTAGCATGATGTGACCCGCAGGGACTCAGTCCGCACGCATCGCTGCAGAGCACGTTTTCTCTGTGAGCGAGCTACGCCCGGAGTTGTCATGAGAAAGTTATTACAGCAAAAGCTGTAACACACAAGGGCTTCTCAAGCTTGCTTAAAGCCAAGCGGCAATAATGCACGCTTTCTTTTCTAGTTAAATTTGCGACAGTGAAATGTCCCTAGGAAGTCACCATGAACGGAGCTGTGGAAACATATGTCAAAGGTCCTGCCAGAGCTAAACCCGTGCACCCGTGAGGGAAGGGACTACTGTCTGTTGAACGTCTCAAGAGCTCAAGGAATTTGCCTCCGAAGTTTTTTTGGACAAAGACGCCTCTGAGCTCACATTCTTTTCTCTGGGGGTATAAATGATGCTTTGCAGAAAGGGGGAAGCGCTCAGAAGTGGAATCAATGCAGGGCGTCTTAGGGACATGCACACCGAGCTGCTGCGGGCAAAGTTCCCCGCTCCCCAAGCATGCCGGGAGCACCGACGTCTTCACAGAACCCGCTTCTCACCTCGCTCACGGTTGGAACCATGAGATCCTAGGAGAGCGGTGACGGCCCACAGGGAGCCCACAGCAAACGGCACTCTTGAACTGATTTCTCCTCCAATTGGCGTGAAAACTTCCATCCATCCGAGGGGCTGGAAGCAGTTCGTTGGCAAAGGAGGCTCAGAGTCTGGGCTTTCTGCTTTCCTGACGTGTGTGTTCATCTGTGGGTTTTGACTCCATAAAATATTCAGCGTTGTCTTAGTCTGTTTTGTGCTGCCATGGCAGAACGCCCGAAGCCTGGGCGATTTATAAAGAGCAGACATGTATTTACTGCAGTCCTGGCGGTTAGGAAGCCCAGGACTGAGGTGTCAGCAGGGTTGGTGACTGGAGAGGGCCTGGTCTCCACTTCCAAGATGTCACCTTGAACGCTGCTTCCTCCAGAGAGGAGGGACACTGTCCCCCACGTGGCAGGAGGATGGCAGAGCCAGGAGAAAGAACCCACTCCAGAAAGCCCTTTTCACAGGCATTAAACCCACCCATGAGGGCAGAGCCCTCGTGGCCAAATCACCTCCCAAAGTTCCCGCCTCTCAGTACTGTTAAAATGGCAATGAAAGTTCAACAGTAGTTTGGGAGAGGACACACACACAAAACCCCAGAAAAAGTTTAACTAGTTTTCTCTTTTGACTAGTCCTAGAAAATGCCTTCCCTTCTTGCATAACGCCAGGATCAGGCAAGACCTCGGCAATCACACCTGGCCAAATCCCTAACCACACTCGTGAAGAAAGGATGCACAGGGTGGTCTGTCCCCCTGCCCAAGATCACAAATCTGGCAAGGACAGAGGCGAGACTGGGACCCGGGTTCATTGGTGTGTGCGGCTCTAGTCTCTTTATTAAATAACTTCAGCAGGGCTGTCATTTAAAAAAAAAAAAAAGATTGCAAAAAAACTAAAAATGTATGGCTGATTCTTAATTATGAGCTAAACACAGAACACGTGCCTTTTACACATATTTATTGATGCCTCCTGTGTAGCAGGCAGTCCGCTCACTCTGGGACTGAATGATGAAGAAGGCGAACACAATCCCTGTCCCCAAGGAGCTTGCAGTCTAGTGAGGAAGACAGACAGTTAAACAAGTAATTAAAATAAAGTGCAATGATGTCCCTGTAGGGACAGGACAGAGATTATGGGAGCAAGATAGAGATTTAAATAGTGCGTGTGTGTGCGTGTGTGTGTGTGTGTGTGTGTGTTGGGCTGACAGGTGTGGGGAAAGCCTCACCTTAGACCACAGACCCTCTTCCCTAATCCCCCTCCCCACCCATTGGCCTCCGGAGCTGGACTGCTCGAGGTCACCCTCGACTCCTCTGGCCCATCATTCCCACAAGTAGCAGTCATGGAGTTCAGCGTATGATTTCTGGAGGCCGTCTCCCCCTCCACTCCTAGCGCCATCCAATGCATCCCTTGCCTCGACTACTAGAAGGGTCTCCCCGTTCTTCTCCCGGGGTCCAGCCTTGCCACCCTCAGTCCTGTCCTCTTCAAACTGATCCACCTAACCTGCAACTCTGACCACTTTTAAATGACAGCCTCTCCCGCCTACACGTCTGCCGGCTCCCTGCGGGCTGAGGAGGAAGGCCAGGCTCATTAGCACAGCCGAAGCCTCCAGGAGCCAGGCCTGCCCACCTTCCCAGCCTCCCGCCTCGCCCCCTCACCTCACCTCCTGCGCCAGCAAAGCCAGCGACCCACAGCTCCGGACGCGGCAAGCTGTTCAATGCACTTGCTGCCGTGTCACGCAGGCCTGTCTCCCTGCCACTGCCACCCCCTCCCAGACGTGCCTTCCCCCACCTCGGTCGGCCACGTGCTAATGTCACCCTCATTGACTCAGTTCTTAGGAAGCCTCCCCTGCTGCCCCGCCCCCACCAAGCTGAGTTGTGTGTCCATTCTCTGTGTTCTTACAAAACCCTGGGCACATACTAATATTTGCAAATTCCACGCTGAAATATGATCATTTGTCTATGGCTCAGTTCCCCTCCTTAGCTTTTTTTTTTTTTTTTTTTTTTGAGACAGAGTCTCACTCTGCTGCCTGGGCTAGAGTGCCGAGGCATCAGCCTAGCTCACAGCAACCTCAAACTCCTGGGCTCAAGGGATCCTTCTGCCTCAGCCTCCCAAGTAGCTGGGACTATAGGCATGTGCCACCATGCCCGGCTAATTTTTTCTACATATTTTTAGTTGGCCAATTAATTTATTTCATTTTTAGTAGAGGCGGGGTCTCACTCTTGCTCAGGCTGGTCTCAAACTCTTGACCTTGAGCCATCCTCCTGCCTCGGCCTCCCAGAGTGCTAGGATTACAGGCATGAGCCACCGCACTCGGCCTCTCCTTAACTTTTTTCTTTTCCTCCTTAACTTTTGACCTCCTGGAAGGCAAGGATTGCCAGACAGCCCTGATACCAACTGGAGGCCAGGACATGTCTGTTTAATGAAAAAATTGTTGCTGTAGATGTCACCTGTGGGCAATTCTCATCCCAACAATTGAAAATGATATTAGTTATATGAGCAAGCAAAATAATGGGGTTTTGGCTTTCCAAAAGGGAGCTCCCAAAAAGGGATAATTGTTTTAAGCTTCCTGAAAGTTGCTGATTTTAGCTAGCTAGGTCATAATAATACCTAAAGTTGTCTATATTTTCAAAACAGTGTTTCCCACTGTTCCATTATCAAAGAAATATAAAATCAATATATACTTTGTTCAATTATGTAAAGTGCTAAAAAAAAAATAGCAGAGCACCAGCCCTGAGTCATCACTTAACTTGTTTCTAGAAGAGTTGGAGGTAAACAAACTGGTAGGAGACTGGCACCTGGGCCGGGTTCGGTGAATGACACACCGCCTGGTCATGTCATCCTTCAAAATAGCAGATTACAAAAACAACACACACTTACCGTCCCTGCTCCATAGGATCCTTTCTCCCTTTCTCCTAAGCAGGTTTGCCTATCTTTAAAAGCAGTTGCTATTTTGCAAATTCTGTTGGGAAATGTAAGGAGGTCACTGGAAGGAGAGAAACCTCAGGGAGTGTTTGCATAGGAAGCAGGGCCAGCTAGGTTTTAAAATGATTGCTAAAGAGAGCAAACTACCTACCAACAGTCTACAAAGATTATAAAGGAAAATGGACTGAACTCCTTTAACCACATGGAATCTGAACTTCAAATTACAAACTATATGATCACTATGAAGAAGTTTGTAAAGTCTTTTTTTTTTTTTTCGAAGGGGAAAGGAAAATAGGCATTTTGTCAGGAAAACTACCGTATATACCACTTCTCTTAATATAGAACACATGCTTTAGTTTTAGCACAGTGACTATTTGGAGGGTTTTCATACTGTAGTCCAGTTGTGTTTATTTATAATATGGGTGTGGGATAAAATATCACATCACAGGACATGTATATACATCCATGTGAACCTTTGCTCTCTGCCCAGAGCTATTTCTACCTTCCTTCTTAACCCCAAATTAAAAATGATCAAGTCAAATTGTGATACATTGTTACCTGAATGGCAAAGAACTTGCTAACTAGAAGTAACTTCAGTCTTCTTTAAGTCATTCTTTATGTATCAAATTGAATCTACTCTTTGTACTTCTGTAACCTTGAATAAAAAGAGGGAGGGAGGCTCAGCAAAACAGTTGGATTATTCCCAGGAAGGCTCCAACACAGGTTAAAAAACATTTTAAAATGAAATATTACACTTCACCTTAGAAAATGAAACAGTATAGTTCAGCGCAGAACTCATCTAAAAATAGTCTTTGGTGAACAAGCTTTCTGCCCTCACACTGAGGCTATGTGTTCGTGTGCTTGTGTGCACATGCCTGTAGGTGCCTCCAAGTTGCACCGCATGCTTGGAACATAGTAACTTGGGCTCAAAACAAATAAATACATTAATTAATCAAAAAGAGGCCTTTGGTGAAGTTCCTTAACAAAAACTAAAACTTAAATGTTTATTGAAATGCTTTCAAGAAATGGCACACATAAGGAAATAATGATTTTGTTTCATAAATGCAAAAGTTCAAAAGTATTCAAGATGTAATCTAGAAAAATGAATCTAGCCTTTTATACACAGAATAAACGCATTTTAAAATGTTTTGTAAAACCTGCACATGAGATTTCTTTTAATTCCTGATTATCTCGCGCTATGTTGACTCAGATTTCTAGATATTCTCTTGCTGTTTTGCTTCCACCTACCTAGGGTTTTACTTGGTGGTGGGATGGTCCTTCTGATTTAGGCAAATCGGTGGTGCGGGGAGGAATCCAGGTAGCTACATGTTGTAGTAGTGGTATGAGGTGACTGTGTGAAGATGTATTTTCAACAAATTTTAGCTATCATGGGCTTGTTAGTTACTTTTGTTGGAATCATCAAATTATGAAAAAACATCCTTTATGTGAGTTTATTAGTATTTTCCTTTCAAACAATATATAAAATAGCCAAGAGAGAAAAAAAAAATCCATGGAGGGTTCATGGGTATGCTACTCTAGGTTTAATGTCCGTGCAAGTTGAAACTCTCGCTATATTTCTTACAAAAATAGGAGACTGTGATGATTCATAAGTGTGCCTTTCCAGTTAGGTTAGTCCTAGAGCTGGGAATCTGCATTCCTCCTGGAAGGAAGGTAATGTAACTAGCCACAAGACCATCATCAAAAGCAACTGTAAAAGCATCTCCTAGGTTAAATTAATTATTTTCCCAACCTGGATAACAAACAAATAAAAACTGCTTATTTATTCCATTACTATTAGGCAATAACTATTGAACTCCTCAAAGTCAAAAGTGGGGATATTTTGAAATTTTAAGGTGTCTATATTCCTAAGAACCTAGTGAAGGAAACTCTGAAGTAGTTTCAACATGTGATATTGACTCCTTTCTCTTTGTGACTAGAAAAAAATTTTGGTGATGCAAGGGGAAGGGGTTTAATTAAAGATGTGAGTGAAAAATAAAAATATCCTGTTATTCAATCTATTACATTCCTTTATTAGAAATACTGATGGATATTTTCATCTTTCTTCTGGACATTGGCACATTGACACAGTTGTAAGTAATCTTTGATCTGTGGGTTCATATAGGGTGTGTATAAGTTTGAACACAAACTAGTCAGATAAAATTCTTCTTTTGCTTGCTTCTTGTAGGAAATGCATTTGTGAGAATTCTGATAGATTACATTTAGTCTTAATAGTTGCTCAAATGCATACAGATAATTCTGATATTCAAAACATATGAATAGTTATGTTGACCAGAAAATAAAGTGGTCAATAGCAAACAGTTTATGGCAGTAATGCCTCAAATCCCCTTAATCAAAAATACATACACAGATCCCTAGTAGCATTTTTTGTACACATTCAGAGAATTTGTCTTTGGCCTCAATTTTCTTATTGAAATGGGGAAGGCCAACTTATTGTCGATCGTACCTTAAAGTCTCTTTTTATTCATTACTCAAATCCTTTAAAAACACAGGGGAAAAATGTGTCAAAATAGAGGTAGTAAAAAAGAAATTTACAAAGAAACAGGAGCCTATATTGTACTCATATTGAAAGAAAAAATCTTGACAGAATGACTGTCAAAAAGCCACATGGAACAGCAGTCCAGGGAAGATAAAAGAAGTGTCAATGATGTCTGGGTAGGGACTCACAGAGAGGGACAGCTTCATGGATTATGACAAAAGAGAGAGAAAATAAACAAGGGTGGGCCGGGGGAGTAGGATAAAAGCAATCACTTGTGAATAATCTCAAAGAAAATAAACAGGGAGATTTTCTACAGAAGAAATAGGAAAGGGAAAAATAAACTATTATATTTTGTTACACCTTCTAATTCTAATAAAAAAATCTTAAATTATGCTGCAGAGGCACATAGCAGAAAGAGAACTGGAAGATGAGGAGGAAGCTGGGGAGATAAAACACACCTGGGAAAAAAGAATTTAGTGAGGATGAGGATGAGGTGGCCTCTGATTTAACCCCTCACGAACTCCTCTTTCAAATGGTTAGGGGCGGAGTGATAGTTACTATATGTAATAAGACACATCATTAGAAATATATTAGATGCGAAAACAAAACACAAGCAAGCATGCATACAAAGGTAGATAAAAGTTAGGGTCTACACCTACCACATGAGCTGAAATTTTTTAGGTTGATTTCCTCTTTTAACTTCCAAACCCGCTTATAAAGCAATTAACTAAATGGCTACATGGTTGGTCAAATTGAGAGGATATAATTTCAAATAGAATTGCTACCACACATTGCTTCAGACACTCAAACCAACGCAC